CTTGCTGGGCACCGATACATCATTTGCCCAAAGCCACCCCACCCTGCTGAAAAAATACTTAATAGAAAGGGTCCAGGGGGATGGTCCGGGGGGTCCGGATTCCCCATCAGACCTGATACTTGTTTGAGACTAAAATCCTTACAACGATAGGATCGTATATCACTGTTTAACTGGCTGAATTTTTTAATGACACGCGTGTTGTATTTTGCCACTAAACTAAATTCCAGGGATATCATCAAAAATGTGATTGTCTTTGGACACGGCAGTATTTCCCGCCCCAACGGCGACTAGCTTTCATAGATTGAGAAACTCGTAGTCGTCTCTGCCTTCTCAGTGACTGGTGGGAAGGGGTGTGGGGGAAAAGTAATTTGCCCAAAAAAAGTTCAACAGTCCTTTCTGAACCAAAATTTTGACCTCCCCCCGCCCCTCCCACCCCAATAAAAAAAATCCTGGATCCGCTCATGCAAAGATGTTACACTGAGTTCGGAGCCAAGGCTTATGCTGGCGCGTGAAAGTAAATCAATTTTTTTTTCGAGTTATATTAGAGTTTCAATTGTAGCACGAAAAACACAGTATAATTTTATTTATTTCCATGTGTAATACTGTAAAATAATTGCCTGATCATAGGTATCCTAGAGGAACAAGATACATATTTGTTTCGAGTCTTTCTAATTATTCAGTATCCAGTGGTTCGGTGGTTCAAGTTGTGTTAAAACATCCCGACTAAAAGCCAACAACAGGGAATGAGCTCTTCGGAAGCCAATGAACTAGTGGCCGGATCCGGATCTCAAAAAAAGATTTGGATAAGTAAAAACGACAAAATCGAAGGAACAACCGATCGGCGAAAAGAGAAAATAAACCTAGTACAAACAAAATTAAGAATATACATGATATCATTTTTCCGATATTAGTCGGTTTGCAACCCAAACCCTTGTCGGGGGCTGGTACAGTGGGGTCGTTACCAAAATTGAATTTAAAACTAAAGTACATAATTGTAAATATACAGTAAAATTCCGAAAATAAGCCTCTCCATGTATAAGCTCCTCCAAATATGTGGCCCCCAAACCGCTAACGCAAAAAAAAACCCCGTTAAATCGCCCCTCCAAATATAAGCCCCCCGGGGGCTTGTACTTGGAAAATTTCCCTCAAATACAAAGTAAAACAAAGTAAAAATGGTAAATTTACTTCCAACGATGAGGCTAGCCCGATCGATTTTGAAACGCAAATTTCCCTCCGTAGATAAGCCCCTCCGAATATGAGCCCCTCCAAAAATAAGCCCCTCAAAAAGGGCCTTTGAAAAATATAAAGCCCCGGGGCTTATTTTCGGAATTTTACGGTAATTGGTGATTACAAAGATTGTCTAATACACCTGAACTGACGCAAGTAGGGAACCAAAAATAACTACCTGGCCCTAGTTGATCAAACGACCGATCATTTTTTCCAACGGATACTGTGTGGCACGAAATTTTTGCGGGAGTTTATTTTTGCGGATTGGCGATTTTTTGTGTTTTGCGGGAACTAATTTTTGCGATTAGATCGACAGACTTGATTTTCTTGCTGGGGATTAATTTTTGCGATTTTTTTGCAAAATCAGAAAATTGAGACTAACGTTGTTGAAAGGTGAAAAAAAAAACTTTACACTTTTTGTTTGTGGGGAAGGAGGAATTACGAATCCTCTAAAAACGCCTGCTCGTCAAGTCCAGGATTATATCGGCGATTGAAGAGGCACCTTTGCCCTCAAGCGAGGGCAAAAATGAAACAGTCCGAAGCTAGTTTTACTTCATAAATATGCAGCATGGAAGAATTTCTTCCCTCCTTCTCAAATGCGTGGGTAGAATTACGTGACGTGACATGCTTTGCATGACTGCACTCAAAGCTGGTTTGCCTGTGGCAGTTCGACAGTTGTTTTCGTTTTGCCGTGGCGGCAAGCTACGTGCCATTGTTACAGCTATAAGTTCAAATTCTTGATTCATTTCCTTCTGGAGGTCTGTCCGAGGAATCGTTTGAGAAGTTCTATGGACTCTTGAACTAACACAGTCTCAGGTGGGTATCGTTGGATTAAAAATTGTTAATTCGTTAAATCGCATAAATCGCTGCATAAAATTCAGAAAACGGGACAGATTACTCGTGACTTTTGTTGTATGTTTTACCGCTTTGTGGACTTTTTGACACTTGATACTTTAACTCAGCTTTATGTTTAAAAACCTATATACATTTTGGACCAATATTGTTTCCAGAAGATGTATTTTCCGCAGTTGTTTTTGTTTCACACCTGCCGCACCCACTATTGTGCATTCTGTTTTGCATGGATGTACTGATTGGCCAGTTATTAGTATTTATACTCTCCGCTGTCTCTTGAGTACCATTCACGCTCGCGGTTCCATACAGTTTATTCATCTTTCTAGTTTGTGTTTTCCTTTTCGTGTGATGCCCAACGACCAAAAAGAGAGCAAAGGTTCGTCCATTCCGGCTGAAGTAGGCCAAACGTCTTCAGGTGATAGTGGAGGCAACTCAGCCGCCGTTAATTAATCAAGTCTTTTCCATGTTTAAGGATTTTCTTGAGAAAAAATTAGAAGATAAAGGAAAGCAAATCGAACAAAGGAGTAAGCTAGATAAAGAAGTTGTACAGCTAAAGTTCAAAGGTAACCAGAAACAATTTGAGCTTAATGCCGAATTAGATGCCATTTTTGAAAGCATTGAAACTGAAAGTGAAAGCATCGAGCCAAATTTGTCGCAGATCAAGAAACTTTCCCAAGAAGGCAGGCAACGTATTCGAAAGCGACAGAAGCTGATAAAAAATCGCTGATAAAAGTAGGGACGGCTGGCAGGTTGTAGCCGAGTACGAGTCGGACGAGCTTGCATCCGGCTCCGAAGATGAAAAGCTTCTTAAGAAGGCAAGAGAAGCGGCGAGCCGCAAGAGAGAGACGTCAAAAGGAACAACTCTCCAGTGATCGTGGAAAGAAACCAAGAGTTGCTTTGGGCGCTGATAATCAGCTTTTTGTGGTAAGAAAAAGAGCCTCCTCTTTACTTCGTATTTGTTCATATGTGTTTTGGATCTGCTTGCGCATCCTACCATATTTCTCGTGTGATTTGTTTGTATTACGGGAATTTAAGGGTAAAATGATTTACGTTCGTTTGAGCGAAGCGAATTAGAACGTAAATGTATTTTCCCAGAAACTCCAAGTAATTAGTCGCACTTGTTTTCGTCTCAAACCTGCCGCACCCACTATTGAGCATTCTGTTTTGCATGGATGTCTTGATTGGCCAGTTATTAGTATTTGTACTCTCCGTTGTCTCTCGAGTACCATTCACGCTCGCGGTTCCATACAGTTTATTCATCTTTCTGGTTTACGCCCCCCACCCTCCCCCTCCCGTTTACTACAGGTTTCGTCATTGCTTTTATCTTTCAGGCCGTAGAGACGCTTCTGACGATTTCTTTCGCGGTTTCAAATGCGGCAAATTTGGACACTGGACCAAGGACTGTAGATCCATGTTCTGGCCGAGAAGTTACCAGTCCCCTAGCTACAATTCTTGCCCTGTAATCTCCTACAACAAGCCAACCGCAGGCCAATCAACTCAACCAAAGCAATGAAGATGACTTGGCGCAGGTAGATCAAATTACACAGAATTACGAACTTGAAAGCGGACATTCATTAGGTGTTAAGGGTAATTTGAAGAATAATTTAGGTTTCTGGAGATCTATAGGTGCTCCGGATTTTATTTTGTCTATTATTGAAAACGGCTACAGGCAGCCGTTCATCAGTTTTCCATTGGCCGTAAAGCTAAGAAATAATAAATCAGCTCGACTTCATGCTGATTTTGAGGACCAAGCCGTTCTTGAGCTTGTTTTTCTGGTCGGGTGCGTATGGTTAATGAGCAGCCCTTTGTTGTAAATCCCTTGCCAGTTTCTATACAGCCATGCGGTAAAAAGAAGTTAATTCTTGATTTGCGCCATGTCAATAAGTCATTTATTAAGCAAAGCGTTAAGTACGAGGACAGGAAAATTGCTATGGCTTATTTTGCGAAAGACGCTTACATGTTTTCCTTTGATTTAAAAAGCGGTTATCACCATATCGACATTGCGCAAGAGCACCAAACGTTTCTGGGGTTTTCATGGCGGGCGTCTGATTCCATTAATGAAGTATTTTATGTTTTCACTGTGCTCCCGTTCGGTCTTTCCTCTGCCCGTTATGTTTTCACAAAGGTTTTGAAGCCTTTAGAAAAGTATTGGAGAATACAGGGTCTTTGTATAGCCATCTTCTTGGACGACGGTTGGGCGATTGTTCAGGATGGAGAAAGTTGTCGCATTAAGGCCCTAGCTGTAAGAGGGGATTTGTATAACGCGGGTTTTGTCGTTAACGAAGACAATCGGTATGGAAACCCACCCAGAGTATTGGACTGGCTGGGTATAACCTGGAATTCTGCACTGGGTACTTTAAAAATTGTAGAAAGAAGAATTCTTAAGATCATCAATACAATTGATCATATTACTGAAGCCGATTTCAAAGTGTCTGCGAGAGACGGTTGGCCTCCTTCACAGGTCAAATTATTTCTACCGGGCCTGTAGTTGGTAACATTGGCAGGATAATGACCAGACATTGTGTCTTGTCCACCTTGTGCAAAGATAACTGGGATTCTATATTCCGTCTCGACGATTACTGCAAGGAAGAACTGTATTTTTGGAAGGAAAATATGGTTAATATCAACTCTAGGTATTGCTTTGTAAGTAAAGATCCTAGTTATTTTGTATATTCGGATGCCAGTGCTACTGGCGCGGAGGTGGAGCAAGTATTGACTTTAACAATGATTTTGTGTGCCACAAAATGTGGTCCGAGAACGAGAGAGTTCAAAGTTCAACGTGGAGGGAGTTGTCTGTTATTGAGTTTTCATTGCAATCGTTCTCCTCAGTGTTGGAAGGAACACACGTTAAGTGGTTTACAGATAGCCAAGCAGCTGCTAAGATTGTTGAAGTGGGCAGCATGAAATTAGGTTTGCATAAGATGGCCCGAAGGATTTTTGATATTTGTATTCGATCGGGGATTCATTTAGAAGTGCAATGGATCCCTCGCACTTCGAATCAGCAAGCTGATTATATAAGTCGTTTGATACTGATGATTGGCAAATTACTGAAGAATTTTTTCTTTTTCTTGATGCCCGGTAGGGCCCGCATAGTGTTGATTGTTTTGCCAATTATTATAATCACAAGCTCTCCAAATATTTTTCGAGGTTTTGGAACCCTAATACTTCGGGTGTTGATTTTTTCTTTCAGTCTCTTCGAGGAGAAAATTGCCTAGTAGTCCCTCCAGTTGGTATCGTCCCACGCGTATTGCATTATTTGAAATCTCAGCGGGCCGTTGGTACACTCGTTGTACCTCTTTGGCCTTCGGCTCATTTTTGGCCTTTGATTACACACAAGTATAGTAGTTATCTTGTGGCTCACAGTATTCATATCGGGAATGAGGTTCTAACCCGCGGAAGAAACTTTAATTCGCTCTTAGGGTCTGATCTTTTCACAGGAAATATTATTGTTGATTTATGTGGCGCAGGCCCAATCAATGGTTTTTGATTTACGGGGCACTGGTCCATTCAATAGTCTATCGTCTTATATGGCACTGGCCTCAACAATGATCGATTTTTGTACGGCTTTTTTTTATTCTTTTTTATATATGTTTTGTTCTTGTCTTTCCAGGTAATCTTATCAAGTAATTCCTGGAAAGGCTTTCAACAATTTTCTTCAATCAACGTTTATGAGGTTTTAGAAGTTATGTTGAAGTCCAGGGCGGATACAACTACTAAAGCCTACGTTCGCGTTATTAGAAAGTTCTCGGAGTGGTCTAAAAGTAGACATTTCAACATGCAGTTACCTTTTCCCCTTAGTGTTGTTTCTCTATATTTATTTAAAGTTCAGCAGTCTTGCACCTCTAGTTCCTCAGTAATTTTAGCCCATGCTGCCCTTAAATGGTTACATTCTTTTGTCCCTAGTTTGGATCGTAATCCTTTGGATAGTGAATTTTGCAGGAATATCATCGAATCTGCTAAACGCCAGAAATCTCAGCCAGTTGTGAAAAAGAAACCTATTACCACAGACATCATAAGGAGTATTTTAGATATTCATAACAAGACAGATGCTAATTTAAAGAATCTTCGTATCGCTGCGTTATGCTCTTTAGCTTTTGCAGGATTTTTTCGTTACGACGAATTATGCAATATCGTTCCTAGGCATATTGAATTTCACAGCGATTAATATAAGAATCTTTGTACCTCGTAGTAAGACAGATGTTTATAGGGAAGGGAATTTTCTTCTTTATTAGGGCATCCAGGTCTAAGTACTGTCCTGTTGGTGTTTTACAACGGTACTTAGATTTATGTGGTATTGACTTATGTAGTTCTCTCCCTGTATTTAGACCGCTTGTTTTTTACCGTAGTAGTTCTAGCTATACCCTGAGAAGTGGAAAGATTTCTTATACTACTTGTAGAGATATTTTAAGGGATACCTTAAGTCAGCTGGGCCTCAACCCTAATGATTATGGTCTTCATAGTTTAAGATCCGGTGGTATTACATCTGCGGTACGTAATAGTAGTAACTTGATTCCAGAAAGACTTCTTAAAATACAGGGTAGATGGAAATCTGATTCTGCCAAGGATATGTATGTTGAAGAAAGCCTTGAAAACAAGTTACAAGTAACTAAGTATTTAGGTTTGTAATGCATTATCGAGCGTATATTAATTTCTCCATGCAGTAGTGTCTTAAAAAAAAAATTGTAAACAACAACAACAATAACAACTTTGTAATTTCTTTTTTTTCATATGTGTTTTAGATCTGCTTGAGCATCCTACCATATTTCTCGTGTGATTTGTTTGTATCACGGGAATTTAAGGGTAAAATGATTTACGTTCGTTTGAGCGAAGCGAATTAGAACGTAATTACAGAATAATTAAAGGTATGGCGCTACCGTTATTTGCATTTGGTTGTACTTCGGTTAGAGGACACGTTTTTTCGCCCGTTTTTAGTGTAACATTTACATTTGCTTCGCTTTGTCAGCGCTCGTGATTTCATTTACCCAAAAATTTTATTTCGCTTATTTGAAGAAAAAAGAATGCTCTTTCAGGCTAAACAAGCCTTGGTGTTCAAAACCCATGTACCAATCCGCTTTTTTAGCGCGTAAAAAAGTGCTAAATTATGACGGTTGATTAAGCGATTTTGAGTCAACAACTTGGAAAATTTCTCAAAAAATCTCTTGTTGACCAAATCGCAAACTAATCAATTAAAACTATAGAGGAAAGATAGTAAAAATATGTGTCATTATATTTTAGTAGCCAACTTTATTTTAAACTATACGAGCCACTGAATATGACTCTAATTTCGCATGATTTTTGGCCATTTAAGGCCTCGGGAAAAAAAAAAAAATTCGTTAAAAAAATATTATTCACTCGATCGTACTTAAACCAACGATTTTGTAACTAGGGCACATAAGGCTTTATTCTGGCCGAGTTTGAGGCCAGGTCATTTTTTGACTATTTCCTCGTCTAGTTGATAATTACGCGGAGCCGCTCTTACCAGTAAGTGATTTAATAGAAAAGGAAAAAGGCTCGTGAAGTTATATTATCACGCAAATCAAATTTGACATGTTTGTTATTATTTACTCGACGCGATGGTACAAGTGCCTTATTGTAACTGTTTTTCATGGTTAAAAACGAATTCTCAAACGTTGAGAGAAGAAAGAACCTTACAACAGCCCATGGTGAACAACGAGACGATAATGTTGTCAGAAAGGCTACTCCTTTGCGTGACATTCGTTTTGGAATACGGTTTTAGGTGAAAAACGTCGTGAGTTTTTCTTTTACTCTCTTTTTCTTCATTTCTTTTCTTCCACAGACAAGAAAAAGACGTACGCAATTGACATTATCAGCAGTTTAAAAAGTATGAACGAATTACGGTAAGCAAAAACTGCAAGGACGCACGTCTCCATTCATCATTTTGTTTTGTCAGTCTGTTTTGTTGACGTTTTCGGTGAAAACTTGAGTAAGATAGGGAGCTCCTGGGATTACATCCGTTATTCTAAATCAAGAGTAACAACAGTAAGTCTACCCTATTCTCTTCAACTTTGTAATAAGTTTCGTCGTGTATGTGAATCAAATTTTATGTCAATTTATTGGACTACGCATCAACGCGATCGACGACCGTCATCGTTCGGTTAGATCTAAGATTAATAAAATGATGTGTGGCGTGCTTGTATGATCGTTAAATATAATGAAAGGTCATTAAAGTACTTCAAGGCGCTCTTTGCTGACATTTTCAATTAGAAGAGAAAAAAGATGCATTATTTGCAAAATGATAGATTGGCCGTGACCTCTTGCGTGACATCCGCTCAGCAATTTGCATTGAATTTTTTGTCAAAATAGCCCGAACTCTTTTCAAACTGGATGCGCTAATTTTTGCGGGCCAAAAACGACAGTTGGAGATAATGACCTACGAGGATAAGGCTTTAGCCTGATGTACAATATGACACGTAAATTTATATACTAGGATTTTTATAGGCCTTTAAAGTTGGCCTTTATTTCACCTCAACCCAAAAGATTGAAAGTGGGTTATATCAACGGGTTTTTATGTTGTCTTAAACTTGAAAAAATTACATGAAGTTTACATTTTTTAAAAGACAAAGGGTTCTTTTACCAATATCCAAAATAGCAAACCGGAAATTCAACGAGTTGTCGCGTACGGAGTTAGCGAAGTTGCAGAATTTCCCATTGTTTTTCCGGGGGTCGGGGGCCGCCTCAGCGTAATTTGAACTTTTGGATTTTTCGGAAAAAGCAAAGCGCGAAGGAACTTTTTATTTCCATTCTTGAGAATAGTTCACCAAAAGGATCTTTTAGGTAGAATATGTGGGGGTGTGTTCGAGCAACTCGCTCGCTACACGACGAGGTACCAGGAATCTGATTTACATCTTGCCTTTATTCTTCTTACAGTCAAACCAGGTCAAGCGTTCCCGTCGCTAGCAAACTAATGAATTCAAAAATGAATTCAAAAATGATTTCGTTTGTTGATTCAATAATCCATTCATAAAATGAATAATCCAACAGTCAAATTGGACCTCGATTCAATAATTAAATTTTGATTTGGTTTATGAACAAAATCTACCTGTTCTTTATTCTTGTCTGTTGAGTTGAATCGTATTTGCTTCCCTTTTCTTGCCGTTTACGATTGCGTTTTTAATTGCCTTTAATCAAAAGAACAGCTGGAATAGACAGACCGCAAATGCAAAAAAACTGACAAAGGCCGAGGATCGAAATCCACCAATCACCGCAGATACATTGACCTCAGTTTGACTAAGGTGTTTTCTAAGAGGTCAGGTCCGTTGCAAACAGTTTGTTTNATTCATAAAATGAATAATCCAACAGTCAAATTGGACCTCGATTCAATAATTAAATTTTGATTTGGTTTATGAACAAAATCTACCTGTTCTTTATTCTTGTCTGTTGAGTTGAATCGTATTTGCTTCCCTTTTCTTGCCGTTTACGATTGCGTTTTTAATTGCCTTTAATCAAAAGAACAGCTGGAATAGACAGACCGCAAATGCAAAAAAACTGACAAAGGCCGAGGATCGAAATCCACCAATCACCGCAGATACATTGACCTCAGTTTGACTAAGGTGTTTTCTAAGAGGTCAGGTCCGTTGCAAACAGTTTGTTTGGGTTTGAACTCGCCCGCACTCGACTCGAAGAAAAAAAAGTGTAGTTTTCCAAAAAACAGTAATCGAATCTACATTGGATTATGGAATCGAGGCTAAATATGAATATTGGATCGTTCATTTTATGAATGGATTATTGAATCAACAAACGAAATTTAGTAGTTCGTTAGCGACGGGAACGCTTCACCTGGTTTAACTGTAACTTTCTTACAACTTCTACTTACACAGCAAGTTTCTCGGTTCTACCAACTTCTCTACTTCTACTCTACTCCACTTCTCCTACCATTCTTCCTACCAGTTCAAGTATAGTAGCGGTTTTAATAGCCAAAGCTGGACATGTTTGGGTTAGCTGACCGGAAGAGTTTCTATTGTATTTCTTATCGCTAACATTGCAACAGGTTTGCTATTGTCAGGGAATAGATTAGCCTACGCACAGCCGCAGCTGATAATTACCAAAGAACGAAGGTCAGCTCTAACACCACAAACACGACCACCTGTAACATTCCTAATATGGCAATAAATAAACTCTCGAACTAAGCATAACTTCAAGTACAAGTAAAAACAAAAGATCAAAACAGGGAAACAGTAAGTGGATAAAAACAAGACTTAATGAAACAAAAACTAAACTCAAAAGTTAAGATAGATCCGTCTTAAAAATAACTTTCAAAATTCCTCATAACAAATAAAATAAATTATGAAATTTTGCAACTGTCGGCGGATTCTCGATATATTAGGGAGCTTTAGCAACGAGGACGTCAAAAAAGCAATGGGCTTATTACGCAAAACAACAACTTTGCACGTGCACCACGCTTTTTTGTACATTTCTTTGCCGTCCTTGCATGACTACGACGTGAAAATGCCTAATTGCATGTTTTATGGAGGACGTAAACAAGCGACGACAAATCTCTTTTTTTCTCTCTAAACTTGAGTGCGGTCCTCAAGAAATAAACTCCAAAGATTGGGGAACGGGAATTCATTTTAAACCCGACGTTTTCGCTGCCGTTGCCGTCGTCGACGCTAAAGCTCCCTATTTACAGTCAGGCCCTCTTAAAGGCCCATGTTCACCCTAGATGCATTGCGCGCCCTGTACTCCAGAAAAAACATTTCGCGTAGTTCAAAATCGCTGCCTTTAGTGTGTAAAGTCAATCTTTGTTAATCTTCTACAGTTCGCTAAATCTGGTTTAAAAGAAAGTCTCAACGAGTTCTTTTGGTATTTTTCTTTACATCTTTTTGGATATTTTGGAATGGTATCGAGCCTTTTTGTTTCTGTGAGTGTTTGTTTCACTGCAGCACTTTCGATGGCGGCTCCATCGAAACGAAATTCACTCGATCGTACTTAAACCAACGATTTTGTAACTAGGGCACATAAGGCTTTATTCTGGCCGAGTTTGAGGCCAGGTCATTTTTTGACTATTTCCTCGTCTAGTTGATAATTACGCGGAGCCGCTCTTACCAGTAAGTGATTTAATAGAAAAGGAAAAAGGCTCGTGAAGTTATATTATCACGCAAATCAAATTTGACATGTTTGTTATTATTTACTCGACGCGATGGTACA